GCCACTTTCAATATTTCGTATCAAGCTCAGAAAACTTTTATTACAAAATCAGTAAGTACCTATGCGTAGCCAAATTAAAATTTCATTATGTATAAATATGTCCCCATAATGCCTTATTTTGTTTTTCACACATTTTAGTTATTTAAATGCATTGCTCATTATCACGAATTATGGTTTGTTTTGCATTTCAAGGGTTAGGTGGAAGAGCAGTTTATACTGAACCTCCCCTTGTGGTTTGGTTTCTGAAAGTAGTAGTTATTTTCCGTTTTTTTTTCGTTTCCTTTTTTTTTTTTAAATATGATTTAAACCTTTTTTTTTGTAACTTATGATTTAATGGAAACCAAATAAAGACTATTATTATTATTATTATGTTATTTATTATTTATTGGTAGTGTTTTGGCCAAATACATTAGATTGATAGAAATTAACTTGGAAACAAAGGTGATGAATTTATCTTACTGAACACAATTGTGACAGCATTACTGTAAAAATAGCAAAATCTACTAATTTGGTTAAACCAATCAGCTCAATGCTAAACTGAAACAAGTATAAATTGTGCACAACTTTTGTGCAGATAAAGCGCATTTTTCTTACCCGAAATAGTTTTGTTTTGACATCACCAATGGATATATTTCTTGTAGATGTCTCAATCGCCCTTTGTGAGTACTCTCTTCCGACAATCAGTTCTTGAGGTATAAGGGACCCGAACACGATAAGAGGTCGAGGAGGAGGGCTATGGTTGGTAGAAATTAATTCCTTTCGTTGAGAGTATTAGAGTACCACGAAGGATACAACTAGTTCCACCCCTCCCCCTCCACCCCGTACTTTGATAAGAGGACAGAAAGCAGGGCAGTAGTTGGTACTATTGGACTATTCCCCTAGAAGTAGTTCAAAACGGTAGAAGTGGGTCCGGACGGACGGACGGACAAAACGCAAACAATAACACATTTTTTTAATTCTTAAAAAATGCGTTAAAAAACATAGCTGACTTGGAGCATTATGGCCACAGTGTCTTCATACAGTCACTGTAGATGTTATGACGTCTACGGGGTGTCAATTTTAAAATTTGCATTCGGCCATATTTTCCAAACTAAAGAAGATATTGAAAATCGCGAAAAACCGTTTCGGGGGTATCGAGGGGGAACCAGGATGACGTTGTGATTGACAACCCCCCATCTCCCTTAACCCCCACAGCCGTCTCCCCTCTTCAAAAATCCTAAATGGCAACCCAATACTTGTGACACATCGTTGGAAAGCTACTGAAAAATGCTTTCCAGTGGAACCAATAAAGTCAATATTGATTAAAGACAATTTAACAAAAATTTAATAATTAACAAAAAATTAAATGTTGACATTGAGGGATTTATGGCAAATTGGCCAAGAACTTCAACCGGAGCTGCTTCATTAAGTAATATTGATTGCTTTCTTTTTTTTATTGATAACAGATCCCGTTTCTTCGAATTTAGCGACCAAAACTTGAAGATAGGCATGGCTTAATTTTATTTTTTTTGTTAATTATTAAATTTTTGTTAAATTGTGTTAATGAATATTGACTTTGTACCACTGGAAAGCATTTTTCAATAGCTTTCCAACGATGTGTCACAAATATGGGGTTTCCATTTAGGATTTTTAAAGAGGGCGGGCTGGGGGGTTAAGGGGGTGGGGGGTTGTCACTCATAACGTCACTCTGGGTCCCCCTCGATACCCCCGAAACGGTTTTGCGCGATTTTCAATATCTTCTTTAGTTTGGAAGAACTGCAAGTTTTAAAATTGACACCCTGTATAATTACTTGTAATAATGTTGAAAAATGGTACACTTGATATAAGTACAAGGCGTTCCGTTACGCTTGTGGACGTTAAGTTCGACCACCGTTGCAGTGAGTTTTTAAAATGGCGTCGTAGTTTTGTAAATTTAATAAGAAGTGTGCGAGTTTGATCGGTAGCCAGTTCACGTCACCAGTTTTCGAAGAACAATTAACAAGAATTCAAAAAAGAGAATAACGTCAAGATCATACAAGCGCTTGAAAAGGGAATTCTTTTCGTCTGTTCCAATTGTTTAACATTAAATTTGTTTCGGTTAAATTTATAAATTTAAGTAAGTATTTTGAAAAGAATTTAGTAAAGGTGTTTGGGCTTGTTTCTAAATTTTGTCACGTGTGTTTACGAACCCAGTAAATTTAGAATCTGGTGTAATTTAGACAAGCCGACTAGGTGGTCATTTAGGACCAAAATGTGCGCAAATCTGCATTATAAAATACATGTGTCCCACATTTGATCTTAGTCGGTTGGATCGCTACGAGAGGAATGCAGAACCTCTGGACAAACGTGCGGGGTCAATAAAAGTTCACGAAATTTAGTGGTTGGGTATCAAAGTTATTTATTCTGTTTTGTTCCCGGCAGAACAAGCCTATGGGGTCGTTAGAGTACGCAGGTGCATAAGTATACATACTCTAGTATACCTTGTTTGAGCTTGTTGTAGCGAATATTCCAGAAATCCCGACGCGGCGCCATGAAAGATTACGTCAGATCCGCGAGATTACGTCACATTCGCCGTCGTTCTGACTAATCTTTCATGGCGCCTCGATATATATCGGCATTTCGGACGACGGTTGTAGCGGAGACAGTCCTAAGCGACTCTTAAAAATTTTTGGAGGCTGTAGGATCATCAATAAATGCTTCCGGTTGTGGTCGAATGTTTAGTATTATTGATAGTGAAGACGCTGTAATGGATTATTTGGGATTAATCAGAAAATATAGAAACCAAAGACCAAATAACATCTCCCACGATTACGTATTTGTTTATTGTAGAAAAGATTCAAAGCATTGGTGACTTGGGGAAAAAGAGGTTTAAACTGTTTTGAAGTTATGACAACGGTCATGCCTTCCGCCGATCTTCGGCCACGCTTCTAGCTGATTTTGGCGCTGACGTAACTGGAATACTGGTATACCTAGTCCTAAGCCTAAAACCGAAGAAAATACATTGTTATTTAATAGTTAATGTTTCATATATTCTGTACTTGATAGTCGACCAATTACAAAGAAGTGCTGTTCAGAAATTTTTTACAGCACTAGTGTTAATAAATGTGCCTTAAAACAATCTGTTGCTAACGAATTACTATAACGAATACATATTTCATGATATATTTCATAAGCACCAGCCTTTTAACGTATGACAAGTTGGACAACTGAGTTATAACTGTAATTATAATAAATTTGAATGAAAATAAAATGTTTTATGTTTGCACATTTATTTGTATATGTTACCGGCAAACTGCGAAACTAGGCATTTTGCAAAATGCCTAGGCATTTCGGTAAATGACGAATGCAATAGGCAAAGTAAGAAACGGAGCTGCAGTTCACACTTTGCCTGTCTCTCTTTAGGGATTTCGCGAAATGCCTAAATATGCAGGCAAAGTGCAAAGGCTTCGTCATTTCCCACAGATTGCGCGTAAAGCGTTGCCACTGGATGGTAAACGACGCGACGATATATCTATGTATTGCAATAGCTAATTAATTACCTCTCGATATTCCTAAAAAAAACGGAGAGTGATTCAAAGTCCCTAATAAATCTATTTCTACAGAACTGCTATTCATTAAAAAAAACACTGAATCCAATAATTCCATTAGAGGCAACCACAAATGTTACTGTTCAATGTTATTCGCAACAACAGGGCTATGCTGCCCAGTGGAGACTTTCCTCCAAATTCTTATCGATTCTTTTCAATATGTACTTTCAGCACGGAGATAATTTTTAATTGAATTATAACCGGATGGGAAAATAATTCTTTTGTAGCTTTAAGGACCGCAAGGGAATACGTCTGTCCTAATTGTTGATAGCACATACCTAATAACCAGAAATGTTGAATGACGTAAAGAAAAAGGAGACCTTTATGTTTTCCAAACTCCAAAACAATATTTTTTGGGGTCGGTCTTTTCTAACCAAATAAATTAGCAGTATTTGCAAAAGTTAATGGTCTTCAGATGCTATTTATCTTACAAAAGGTTAGATGCTATGACTTGTTGTGTAATTGAGAATTGGTCAAATTACATGGAACGACAGTAATGATAGATAAAGAAGGAAAAATTGATTGCCGAAATCCTCATATAAATTTGCAATTAAGTAATCGCGCACCCAGACGACAGACGTAAATTGCAAATAATGTTAATTGAAGCATCTCTTACACAGAGAAAAGACGTTATCCAATGCACTACCGCGCCTTAAAACATTCTTTTATGAAAAAAAAACAATACCCACAATTAACCTTCAGCTTTCTAATTGCATATTTTAAATTTTGCATTTGGGGAAATGAAGTGCGTCGATGTTGCAAAATCCACACAAATAGATATGTAATTAACGTTTGAAATTGCATATTCTAAAGATACTGATCCAACTCCTTCACCAGCAATAGTTTATCCATACCGATAACCTTTAATTTTCAATAAATGCAGATTAGAAACAAAGACACGTAAAAGTAGTAATGAATAAAACATGCTGCGTTAGACCGCGTCTGCACATCAGCATAGACAGAAATTTTAAAGAAATTCAATTTCCATTCTAGAAAGGTATAGATACAAGAAATGTCAAGGTGCATTTGCAGCATTCATCAAACTAACTTGAAGTTATTCTTTCCGTGTTTTTTAATCTGTATTTTTATCAATCTCAAGGCAAACCGGCCGTGGTCTCAAGAATGTCAAGAATTACAAAGTGACAAAGCTCTTATTTTCAATTAAGGCCGCATGAGTTAAAAATCGCGCAAGGTCGGACTGAAGCGACACAAAATGGACGGGTCGCGTTTGGCAAAAGGAGTTGTGGTGGTGACTGGTGAGGATAATTTGAGGAATCGAGAGGGGAGGTATTTTAAACTTAACACCTCATAAGATCAGTTAATTTCTTGGAAATTCGGTGGCGTACCAACTTTTAATCGTCCCATAAGGTGTCTGTATAAGTAGAGTCACCTATAGATAAAACTTCTTAGTCTAATGGTATTTTCAAGCCAGCTTTGACGATACTGCCTGGTACCAGTGTAGTGAAAGTACTTGCAGAAATCGAACCATTGGCTAAAGAACTTAATTCATACGCATGCTCATATTATAAAAAGGTCTTAGTATAAATATATTGAAAGCCGGTCACCACTTCTTAGCCAGTGCTCAAGGAGATAGTATGGCTATTAAAAAATTTTGGCTGTGTTGTTTTTTACTTCTTGGCATAGGTATGTCTACTCTTATTATTTTGTAATAGTGTTAGAACACGAATGGTAATGTACTTGCTTCAGTATCATTGAACCGTAGCTCGTAACACTCAGTCGATGGCACATAAAGACCCGTTAGAGTAAATTGTTGCTAATCGCGCGTTAAAGTCTCCTTATTACAAGAAGATTCGCTTTCTACTAAACCGGTATACCTACTTTATTTGCATATTTTACCCATATTTTTTCTGGATTTCAAAAAACTCCTTTACATTTACAAGTCATATTAACATATTATGAAAGATTAAGGTAGGGCATTTGGACGTTGTTATACAACTATTACAAGTAATTTTTGCGATTGTCAGTACTTGCATCTGCCACCTAACAGCTTTTTTGTTATAACGAAATCTTTGTATATAACTTTCCACTGACCTAAATTCACTTTTTAGCATTTGCGCAAGAGGATGATGGCTCTGAGGAGCAAACCACGGAGGAATTATGTGCGAATAGACCAGCAGATGAATACTTTAGATTACAAAGAGGTGGCGATTGCCGGGACGTAGTAAGGTAAATAAATCAACTAACGCTTTCTCTTTATTTTTTCTGTATTGGTCATTACGTGATCTTTCTAGCGACCTGTTTGCACCAATACCCGAACATTTGTTTTTTGCATCTGCAGTGCTTCATTCAATGCAAACAACTATTTCCTCATTTATTGTCACCACTTTTTTACAACTTATACTTACTGAAGAAAGGTCATTTTTTCCGCCCGTCAATTGCTAATAATAGCCACTTTCAGACCATGTAAAATCATTGTTTCTGTCAACGACTTGAATATTATCATTTCATCTATAACATATAACCAAGGTTATAACTTCTGGCTAGGAAAAGTAAAAAAGAACTCTATTATATATTTATAGAACCCCACAAGGTTAATTAGACCGCGGTAAATTGATTGCTTTTAAATGTGCAATTGGTATAATTGGTATGTGTTTAAATCTGTGGTATAATCACCACTTTTTTACGCAGAAAATCAAGGAATGCCAGAAATCGTCCCACCTTTGATGCACCACACACACAGTAGTTTAACCCACGCCAAAATTGAACAATACCGTTGCACACTTCCGTCTTTATTAATTTTCGTTTAATTTGTTATTGTTTAAGGTCAATGCACAGTTTTCTCTTTGATTTTCCATTACTACGCGGTATGTCTGACAGATGTAACCTTTTTTATCTATATATATAGGTGTGACAGAAATGCAGACAACAAAGTCAAATCCAGACTGGCATCAATTCGTTGCCCTGGGGGTCTTGCTTTTGATGTTATCCACCAAATATGTGATTGGAAGACAAATGTTAAAAATTGTGACCAATTAGAGAGTAAGTGAAAATAAGAAACAGTGCTGGTTGTATCGTTTTTTTGAGAATTGATAGTTTCGAACTTTTTTAATTGGTTTATGATGGTAGTATCGCTGCGAGCACCACTGTTTCTTGGTCGTCAACAATTACTAAACACGCACTTTTAACCATCAGGTGTACTAAATCTGGTCTAAAACAAATCACTTGTCCCAGCGGATTGGCGTTTGACATCGATAAGCAAACATGCGATTGGAAGGGTAAAGTCACGAATTGTGACAAACTGGAGAGTAAGTCGCACTATTCAAAAAGTGCGGTGATGGATTACGCAGCAGTATCGTAATACAATATAATCTGTGTAGTACCCATGCACAAATTATATTGTTTAACGGACTGGTCAGTTACTGGTATCGGGATTGAAAAAGTAGAACGACCGTAGAAAGTAGATACTAACTTAGTATTTTCGATCTGCTCTTCCCTTCTTTCTTGCTTTTTGTGTACATATACGGAATGGTGTTGGTGATTTTTTTATTTCACTAACTTAAACATTTACATGTATGTATATAATAACACTAACATATTTACTTATTCGAAACCTATTCGCTTTGTTGTGTTAACTTGACTATCGTGTTTCAAAAAACTTTATCTGTGTCTTCTTTTTTATTCTTCTAAATCTTTCTTTATATATGTTCATTCTCTATTTCTTTTTGTAAGTCTACTTTCTATAAGGAAAAGAAATTATTGCGCGGAAAGCGACGCCAATCAGTCAATAGCACAGCGTTACGCATTATGTGTATATACAGTTAACTGGAATCGTCAACGCAGTAAAGATTTAAAAAGGAGGTCACTTGTAACATTTACATCAAAATCCATGCGATTAAATTGAAAACCTCCATTTTAGATTTTTCTGTTATGCACCACCTACAATTTGCACATGGTTTGGTTACGCAAAATGCAAGGGATGAGTTTTAGCAACTAGACCTAGATGAAATGTACATACAGAACAGCTTACAACTTTTAAAAAATGTAAAGTACTTAACACTTACCATTTATAGAACCTCGAAAGATACGCCCTATACTCAGAACAGACGAACCCATCTGTCCTGATGGACGGCTATCGTGTGGGGACGGAGAGTGCATCGACAAAGAACTGTTTTGCAACGGAAAACCTGATTGTAAAGACGAATCTGACGAGAACGCATGCAGTAAGTGCAACTTTACACCTATGGCAATAATACATGTAATAATATTTATTTAACAGCTGTGGACGAAGACCCCAACCGTGCGCCCGACTGCGATACAACACAGTGCGTTCTCCCCGACTGTTTCTGTTCAGCAGACGGAACACGCATACCGGGAGGTCTGGAACCCACAAACGTACCTCAAATGGTAACAATTACATTCAACGGTGCCGTAAACGTGGACAACATCGACTTGTATGAAACTATCTTCAACGGACTACGGTTAAATCCAAATGGATGCCAAATTAGAGGAACGTTCTTTGTTTCTCACAAATATACCAACTACTCAGCCGTGCAGGATCTACATCGCAAAGGTCACGAAATCGCCGTCTTCTCACTAACACACAAAGACGATCCACAGTACTGGAGTCAAGGCACCTACGACGATTGGCTGGCCGAAATGGCTGGTGCTCGTTTGATTATTGAACGTTTCGCGAATATTTCGGACTCGTCAATCACAGGAATTCGAGCACCTTATCTCCGGGTAGGTGGAAATAAGCAGTTCGAGATGATGAGTGACCAATTCTTCCTCTACGACGCATCAATTACGGCTTCATTAGGACGCGTACCAATCTGGCCGTACACCCTCTACTTCAGAATGCCGCATAAATGTAACGGAAACGCGCACAACTGTCCAAGTCGAAGTCACCCTGTCTGGGAGATGGTCATGAATGAACTCGACAGACGTGATGATCCCACCTTCGACGAATCGCTACCAGGTTGTCACATGGTAGATTCCTGCTCGAACATCCAAACGGGAGATCAATTCGCGCGACTTTTAAGACACAATTTCTTCCGCCACTTCAACAGCAACCGTGCGCCCTTGGGTCTTCATTTCCACGCTTCGTGGTTGAAGAGTAAAAAAGAATTCAGAGATGAATTAATTAAGTTCATTGAAGAAATGTCGGCGCGTCCTGAGGTTTACTTCGTGAACATGTTACAAGTCGTTCAATGGATGCAGTCACCAACAGAAGTGAACGGACTGCGAGATTTCCAAGACTGGAAAGAGAAGTGTGATATCAAAGGACAGCCGTATTGTTCCTTACCAAACTCCTGCCCACTAACCACCAGGGAACTCCCAGGTGAAACTCTGCGTCTCTTTACGTGTATGGAATGTCCCAACAACTACCCGTGGATCTTAGATCCAACTGGGGACGGATTTTCGGTCAGAAAGTAAATTACTTCTTAGGTCTTAAAACATCGCTAGGACATTTAATTTGTTGTACATAGCTATTTTTATGTGTTAAATGACTTGACGTGTTACTATTTTTGTATTTATGAAGTTGTTTAAGTACCCATCCTATAGCTCTTAATGTAACGAAAATGATCTACCTACACGAAGTAAAGATATTGCTCAGTATATACGAAGAAGAAACGAATAAAGCTGTTTGTTAATAACGTCTCTTTATTAGGCGTATTCAAAAATCTGTTTTACTCTTCATTTCTTATCCTTATTCTTATCATAAAATTCTAAACAAGTTAATTTAAGGCCATAACCTTATTTTTTAGATTTGATGATTTAGGTAGTTTCATTGCGAACCGACATCTATCATAACAAAAAACCAAATTTGCAACTTCAGTGTATTGTATATCAAAAAGATAAATCTAAAGCCCCATTCAGATAGGTGGTAGTGCGGTGCTGTTGCCTTGTTGTGCGGTGCGGGCTGGTGCTGTCATGTTGACATTTGCTTTCACAATCACCGCAAAATTGGCCCGCCTACACAAGTATGACCAATCAGCAGCAGCAAATTTGCTTTGACAGATCGCCACGACAAATATGTTGCGCTGCTATTGGTGCTTGCTAACGGTAGTGCAGAAAGTTTGAAGTTTACATACTTTCGGCACGCGGCTGCAATTCGTCTGCACTGCACATGTCATTGTGAATTGTCATATGGATATACGTATTTCAAACTTTTATACAAAGGCACCGCACCGCAACAGCACTGCACTACCACCTATCTGAATGGGGCTTTAAACCTCTTATAAGTAAACTCACTCGAAGCTAGAAGGAAGTAACGAGATAATGCGTTTTGTGCTCCCCAGCATCTGGAGTGATTGAAATCCAGCAGAGTATACTGTGCAATTAATTGGATCGCTCTTGACGTAGCACAACTCCAAAGGATTATTATCACTATTACAATTCAAATAAACGCTATTCGAATCCGAAGTAATTATACTTATTATACAAGTCAGAGTAAAATTAGGAATTTAATTTTGCCATCCCCAATTTATCGAAAATATTTAAAAAAATATAACCCACACGTCAAATTCTCAGCATTTCACAAAATGACTAGGCATATTTTAGAAAATGCCTACGACATTATACAGGGTGTTTTTTAAGATGGGCCATACGACAATGTAAAGGCGTTGAGGTATTTAAAATGGGCCATAGGGAAATTTACATTGCATCAATTGTTTCAGTGATATCTTCCTCGCGAATCATCTGCCACAATACTGTAGACATTGTTTCTAAATCGACAAATTTATCTAAATCAGATATAAACGTATAGGGTTACAAACGGTGGTCGAATTGTTGTCCACGGTCAACCAAACAATACTCGCCACTGAATAGCTCGCATTACCACTCAGCTACTGTGTCCACTCTTGTACAAATTGTAGGTGCCTAGCTACTACATGAACACCTTTTTGAGCGGCGGAACACATGTTGCTGCTTCGTTGATGCAGTTTGAAAGATTGAGATCGAGAGCTGTCACTGAAATAAAAAAGCGCAAGGCCAAGATTTGAGAACAATTTGCGCAATGTAAATTTCCCTATGGCCCATTTTAAATAACTCAGCGCACAACGCTCTAGGTGTGTACTTTCTATGGCCCATCTTTAAAAAAAACACCCTGTATACTTTATCTACGACTAATATATATAATGTCAGTATTATACTTATTGCCATCCATTTTTCCCTTGGGGATTAATGACCAGGGAATCAAAACAAACGTCAAAAGTATAAATATCAAGCGGGTTGTGTATTGTTTGTCTATATTTTTTTTGTATTAAAATGAATAAAATCTCAAGCTATTAAATTAGTCGTAGATAAAGTAAAGTATGTTACTCGCAATAATGGCTATTATACCCACTCTCGAAATTTTACTCCCTCGTCGCTGAAGCCGGCTCAGTATTCGTAAATTTTCCTCGACAATAATAGCTATTATTATTGACTCGTGATATATTCTGCTATTTTAGTAGTATAAACCAATTTAAATTCGTAAATTTGATATTGTGTGGTAGACGTTGAAGCAATGGACGAAAAAGTTAGAGTTATCTACTTCGTATATCTGAGTACCTACTACATAATGTAATTTTTAATCTAATACCGCTATCTTTTCGTACGATTTTCATTAAAAATAGTAATGACAATGATGTTGCAGAATTATAGATATTTTTCCATAATTTATTTGTTTATATTCTAGGAAACGGCGCGGCCGCTACATATACAGGGTGTTACATATAAGTATGTAAAAAAAATTGATTGGTAGAGCGGATCAAAACAAGCCCTTTATCCAGATAAACCGAGGGTCCAACGTGTTTTTCGGGAGCCACCCTCACAAATGTGGTGAAATTTAAATTTCTTCTTTAAATTATTTCTCAGCAAAAATAAGAGTTGCAAAGACTGGTACCACGTTTTTGTTTCTTTCACTGTAAACCTAATAACAGTTCCATATAAGCGTGGAACGTTGAACGTATGAAATTGTAATTTTCTTCCAGTTTCCAGTTCTTTCGCCAGCAACAAAAAGACGAAGAAATATAAAAATTCTTGAATCAAGCGAACAAGTTTTCTCCGCCCGGAATTCCCGACGTCGAAATTCTCTGCGATGACAGTAAAAGACTATATGTTCCAGCCCAATTCCGAACGTTGATTTTCAACAAAATTCACAAGATATTTGACCCCAGCTCTAGAAAAACAACAAGTTTAATGTGTCAACAATTCATGTGGCTCAAAATGAAATCCGACATCAAGCGTTGGTGTCTCGATTGTCAACGCTCCATAATTCATCGCCACATTGTATCATCCCCAGGACAATTCCAATTGGAATCTCTACGTTTCAATCACGTACATTATGGATTTGGTCGGTCCCCTTCTTCCTACAAACTAAAGATGTAACGGAGCTTCGGTTCCGATTCCGAAAGAACGGAACGATTGATTTTGCACTTTCGATTCCGATTTCGGCTCCGACCAATTTTAACCGGAGGTTGATGAACAGGGTCGGTGCGGCCACAATCGGTGCATTCGCGTACAAATGTTTAAACCAATGAATAAAGAATACCAGGAAGGAGCATTACTCAGGTTGTATACAAGAGAGAGTGCGACGGAAGTCGGCCATTTGCAAAAGCCACTTATGACTCATTTTTGTTGTGGTTTTTGCAGTGACATATAATAATGGTTAGTTGTTGTGCCTGTGGTTGCTCCAAAACGGAAAAAAATAAAAGTTTGGGAATTACATTTCATACCAATATTGTTTTTGTATAGTACATGTAGATTTACAAATTTTTATCGGAATGTAGTTTGAGGTTAGTTAAACAAAAGTCATAGGCGGAGTAGACACATGGGGGTTTAGATTGTTTTCGTGTAAAATTCTTTATAATTGTATCCTTCTACAACTGTAAGGTAGGTACGCCACTGGAACAGGAAACTACTGTCCACCATTTGCAAAAGCCATCGCGGTCGCACGTATATTGTTGATATTCTCCTTCCTGGTATTCTTTATTCATTGGTTTAAACTTGTCGCGCGGACAACCTTCCTCACCTCTTGCCTTCTGTTGACTACCTTTTCACTTGTGGTTGTATAATTTGCTTCTTTCCGAGTCATTTTATTTGATCTATTTACATATTAGCATTGAATATCCAGAGTTGGATATTCAATGATATTAGTATTGTTTAAGATGTAACATGTCTCTTTTTTACGGTTCTGATTCCGATTTCAGTTCCGATAAACCAAATTTAAAAACTCCGATTCCGAATTCGGTTCCGATATAACCACTTCCGTTACATCCCTACTACAAACCTAGAATATACACGCAAGCCATTTCTTAAGCGGATGGATTGCAAGATGCGGAATTTGAGTCTGTTCTCTTTGCTGAAATAAACCGGACCCTTTTGGAAACGAACATCTCCGAAATACGGCATGGCGAACGGTAAAGCGAAACACCTCTATCGGACGCTACGATCAAGGGCTAAGTACAGAACCGAGCGATGTGTAGAATTGCTACCTATTATCCTTCTGGGCCTTTGCTCAACTCCGGCAGATGACTGATTTTGCACCCACATCTCTTGTCTACGGCGCAAAACTCCGCCTGCCGGGAAAATTATTTGCCAGCAATGGTCTCAATTTCCCGAGGGCCAGAACGTATCGACATATTTTCAGCCGTATTCATACTTACAAACCTCGTTAGCAATCAAATGATGGGAATTTATATTGAAATAATGTTGAAAGACTATTGCTAGCGCCATCTCTTGTTTGTATCTACCTATATAAATACTGATTATTTTCAAGTGCAAGTGCAACGGACCGAATTGTTGATGCTTGCGGGCCGGCTTTCGCCCGAGGGACGTAGTTTGGAGACTCCTGGGATAGACGATGATGCTTTAACTTATTGTCCTTATTGTGGTTGCGTTGTTCAGTCTGATTTTGCAAATATTATGCGTTAGACGGCGATTTCCGCAATCATCCTTACTGTTGGTTTCATAATGGCACAAGATCACATCAGTGTCGTAGCTAGGGTGGTCCGCACCGGGCCCCTGAAATGAAGGGGCCCTATAATTCATCCGTGTAACCGCGCGGCCGGGATAACAAAAATTATGCAACATTTTTGAAAATCTGTGGTTGATCGATAGTTTGCAGAAATACTGTAACGGAAACGCTCCAGACGTGACGTCGCCTTTGGCGCGCGATAGCGGGATTTGTATAGGAATATTCGAAACTTATCTGGTAATGACGCGAGTGTTCTCGACTTACATTGCTTGCGTGTATAAATGGTTGCGGACCGAACATCGCAGTCAGTTTTACTACCGAACGAGTTCGAGTACGGACGAAACATTGAGCGCGAAAATCTGATATAAATTGCGAAGTGTGTAATATAAATAGTGCATATAAATTGTACAGTTTTTATAGTGTTTTAGTTTTGTTTAATAAATATTGATATAAATCGAACCCGAATTTATAAATCACCTTACAATACGAATAAAATAAAGAAAGTAAATTTGTAAGTTCTGACCATTTTTAAGCTAATCAAAAATGAGCTAAAACAAGCCGGCCTTCGTAATTCATTCTGTTATGTTCTATGCTATTCATTACTTTTATGCAGTTGACAAAACCGCTGCACTGAGTGCAATGTGACTCGACGACAAAACTGTAATATTACGCACGCTTTGTTGTGACTCGTGTTTGGAGTTCGGTTACGGACGCCCGCCAGCAACTTGAGATTGTCAAACCTTGCAATTTTATCTATTGAGCGTGAAGTTACTGATTCGATTGATTTCAATTCTGTTATTGCCGATTTTGCTAATACGAAAGCACGTAAAATAAGTTTATAGAACTTAAATGTATTTTTTTTTACACAAAACGCTATAAATAAATTTCCTAAACCAAATATAGCTTATTTTTGTTTAAATGTTTCCCATTAGGTTATCACACATATTTCGTATTTCTTTGGGGGCCCAGAAATTTGGATCCGCACTGGGCCCAGAGAACCCTAGCTACGCCACTGGATCACATTTAAAATCTTGAAAGTAGGTACCTACCTTGATAACATGGCGTTTTAAACTATTCTTGCTCTTTAAAGTTTAATTACATTGATTGCAAATGAAATTTCAGTAAGCGTATTTTTTCTTTTACAACCGTAAAAACTACAGTCATTGTTTAAATGAATAAACAAAGCATCAACAATATTGGTTACTTTTGGCCACAGTTAATAAACAAAATGGCGGTCTTATACCGTCACTAATAATTACAATGTGCTGCCACCAGAGGTCCCACTGTTAAATCTGAATCGCAAATAAGCATATTTACTTCTTTACGCCTCCCATCAACTACTGACTACTGTCAAAGAGTATACGTTATATACTCTTTGCTACTGTTCAAATTCATAAGGTTAAAAGAAACGTTATACCAAATTTCTATGCTACACACGGTGGTATCAATCCCTCAGTCTATAGCCATTGTTTTTAAACAATGCTATAGCCATCCTGTTGGTTGCCTTTCGACATTTAAAATCAGTTTCACATTACAATAGTTTACTCACATCGCAATTGGTTGCACAGGATCTTGTAAAAGATATGGTACACCAATTGCATTTTGACGACTTTAGCACTACACAACAGACGTTCGTATGGTTAGATCTCATTTACCTGAACAGTCTCTATACCTACTACCTATGTGGTGGTATTGGAGCCAAGAGGTGTATTTTTTAATGTTGTTAGAATTATCCAGGCACCTTTTGAGGCACTTATGTTTTAGTTTTGAGTTGTAATAATTATTTATTATTCATTAATTTTTAACGTTACTAATAAAAGTTTAATCTTATTTGAAAATAAGGGTTTATATAGGTATATATCATGGTCACAATGGAAATGAACAGGGGACCAATAGTGCGAACAGCTTGTAGTTTGTGAAAAGGCTTTCGCAAATTTCAGCAAGATTTAGTGATTCTATACAGACCAAACGCACCTTAAGTAATATTTGGCCTAAACATCTGAACTACTCAAACACAAAAGTAGGTATATAATCCTTTATTGCTTTGTGTGTCCACTGCGTCATTTGTAGAGGCCATTTCAGATATTTGACATTAAAAGGATCATGACGTTAGAGGATCATTACTATTGAGATGGGAGAAAGGTCAAAGGTTAAACGAAAAGTAATGAATGAAGAATCTGCAGGAACCGTAACTATAGATACATCTACATCTCTGTTCCACATCAGTTAATTTTTTACCAGTATCGAGTTTAACAGGACAAGCTGTAAATCTGATTAGTATTTATCATTTTCTGTAGATGTCCACCATACGGAATATACTAGAAAGAATGTACGAGAATAGTTTACTTCCCAAGATAAATAAACTGGAGCATTGGAAACAATAATGATTCACATAATGGTTTATTAACTCTACTATATTCAGAAAATGGGGATTTTGAACCCCTTTTTGTTTGATCAGATGATCATCATCACATCATTAGTTTATTCTTATAATTAATAATAATCAATAATATATCAATAATAAATCATCATGTCTTATAAGACATAAGTGAACATAAAAATTTGACAAAATGTCTGACTACATTAGAGCAGATCAAAGATACTTAACATTGTTTTGATTAAGATGATGGAATACATAATCTAACAGCAGATATGGCACATTGTTTACTTAACACAACCACTAATGAAAGTTAGGCAAGTAATGTCGGCAACAATAACACAACCAATAAAGATAATCACACACTTTATCAAATTAGTTCACCAATTCAAGACAGGCGCGTAGGAACTATAAAAGGCCGACATACTTCAATAAACTATAAATATTTGTGTCAATTAAACGATACTCTATTTTATTCATAATTTTATTACAATACTTAAATATCAATATTATTACATGAGAAAAAGACTGTATTAATATGTAGTAATAATAAATCACAAGGCCCCAAATCAAAGAGGGTTCCTACACGCTTGACCATTATTCAATAACAAGGAGAAAACACATAATTATGAATTGTAATTATCATGCACACCTTTCTATATTAATTTAATTTACACGATTAATATTCAAGAATCAATAATATATAATATATATTTATATGTATATCGCACAATTGTAATTTTATATATATATCTTTACAAAATATAGTTTCGTTATTTAATTATTTTCTCCGTATTTTTGAATAACCTCTTCCTTAGTCACTGTATTACTATACAAGTAGCTTAAAGAAAGCATTACCATAATAAACACTGAGCAATTAAATTGCTGATTACCTTTTCATCGTTTAACATAATCAGTGTTTAATAAATGGTAACACTTTTAACAGAACTGACAGAAGGCAAAAGTCGATTATTTTACTTTCTGTCAGATAGAGCAAACAGTTTGCTGCTTGCTTTGTGATGTGACGACTTAAATAACAATCATTACTAAAATATCACAAAATTGTTGTTGATAAAATGAAAAAATAATGAGCCACTATTTACACACCTTTTTACTTAAAAACAGTTTTTGCAATAATTACAGATTTTTCGGTTAAATAATGTGGCTCAGTCGAAATATGATTTCACTCTCTTCGATTCAGATAATTTTACCAGATGTAAAAATATTTCAATAACAACAACTAGATTACGACGGGCAGCTTGTTGTGTAGATCTGAGTACAGATCGCTTATGACTCGGAGTAAAACTTTTTCACAACATAACTGGGATGTCAGTACAACAGAAATAACGAACAAGTACATTACACAAAATATAAAAATATATAATATATCAATTTTAAATAAACTACACTAATGAAATTTTGAACAACTGACTTTCCCTAAATAAATACCTATAAAACAGTAACATACAACAATAATTAAATTAAAATACATCAAACAAGTGTTAGTTTATATTCTGTCAGCAAAGCTAGCGAGCACGATAGCAACAGCTGCACTAAGCAAGGCCAAATAAGAGAGGTTCAAAAGCACTATAAAAAGCCTATTGAATATGTATCTCTAAAATTGTGCAAAGAATTTACGAAAAATTTTGGAGTAGGTAATTGAGGTGGATGTATTTTTGCTTATAAATTTTTATTTAGTTAGATGTCGAAGTAACAAATGGAAGCCACAGTTTTATCAGAGTCATTATTTTTACACCCCTCAATTATGTACTAAGAACACAAGTTTCGACATTACGAATTCATCTGAACGTTAAAGCGGAAAGGACATTTCGAAGCAAATGTAAAAAGCTGGAGAAATAATGATTCCCTTCTATCATCGCATTCGAGCTACATGACGCCAGAATTAATTATGGAATATCTGCTAAGGAACGGCTAATCACTAACTATATTAAGTATAGAATGAGAATAATCCAATTTGGGGGCATGCGTAACAATATAAAGTTATATGTTAGGGAAGTTACTCTAGGTTGTACTAACCTACATGCTACAATTACAAGACTGATTGCAAGTGTCTATTTCTATAACTTCCTACAACCTGTAATACACATGTACAAGGCACATGAAATCGGATTCGACGTTTAGGAATTTTCAGATTTGTGTGTTGTGTGTGTGTGTGTCTTCTATGCATTATAGAAATGGTTGAAGGTTCAATGTAGTTCCCTTTACTAATGTAACCTTGTACATACACATTAACAGAAAATAAATAGGAAATTTGCAAAAGGTTTGCAGGGGCACACAAATAGCGCAACCCAAGAAAGAGCTGACTTAGCAAACAATAGCGCAAGCAAAGCAGAGACCCGTGCTCTGACTCTGGAAGCTCTTAGGTTGGTATTAAAGGGAAGATTGATACTAACTTACATACTATTGTAACAAGTTGTTCATACTTAGTTCGTGTAATTTTACAAAAACTTTGTAGGCGCTATCGTAATTAATTAATAAAGTAACTATTAACGAGAATACATTAAAACTTATACTCTATTCACATTATAACATGACGGATTCTATCATTTTATACATTATTATATCTACGCATACACTCGACGTACACTCGTAATCGCATCTTACCCTTTAATACCATACACCATCAGACACTGTGGAACTTACTTAAATGCTTTTCAGGAACATTTTCGATTTAAAATACACTTGTGGCACTTAAGTTGGGAGATATCGAGTTACAATAAACCGAACATATTATTATACAACTACTCGATTTTTGACTAGACCGATTGGTAGCCCAAGGTTTAGTTACACTTTACTCCAAATAAAACCGTACAGGCACTACGCAAGTAATTTTTATAAAATATCGAATTAAAAATATTTTAGAATAGATACGTCTCATTTCTAACATTTAACGTCTTCAAAATCACAGCAAATATAAAAACAATAAAAATAGAAACATCATCACAAACATAAAACTTAAAAAAGAGATATCTCCCTCGTCGACTACTGTGACTCAATGGCCCACTGTCTGGGTTGTACCCCCGATACATTAAATACTATAAAATTAATAAATGGGGTGGCTCTGTACAAGCCCAATAACGAGTTATCCTTATCAACATTATAAACAAATTAGTACACGATACAAAAATTATTTTTGTTCCAACACAGAGCCTGGCTGATATTCTCACTCAGTATCTTATTACTTATGCTATATCAATGAAAAACTAACACATTTTTTGTCATTAAATGACTATTACAATAATTATATTATAAAGTCCTATATAAACTGACATAAATCAACAGTTTGGTGAGTGTCGTTGTGACTGCTGCAGGGTGGAGGCTAGGGCAGCCATGATGGGCGCAGGTGGCAGCGCAATGGGGATGTGATAGTATTTACAGACGGAGCGCGAACACTTACCCGTTGCAGCATCACGACATACTGCCACTCGCTGGTCCACCACTTCAACCCCATCTCCTGAAATTAAAATACAATTAGCTACACTGATTTCAAATTCGGAAATTGAAATATCAAGAGTGCTTATGCGACGGTATAGACTAACTTTTTTTTGGGCTTTATTTTTAAGTGGGCGGAGTTTCAGCCAAGGGCTGCTTAACCAGCCCAACCCACTACATGACTATACATATACAAATATTCATGCCTGAACCTGGATTCGAACCAGGGACCCTTAGTGCCGCATTTGAGATTCCACGCCACTGCGCCACACATTTAACAAGTAGCATATGTACGAAAGAGTGACAAGGTCTAAGTAGTTCCCTTGATTGACATGTCCGAAATATAATGAGACTATCAGCAACAGTTGAGTCCAATTGCGCCAGTAGCTGACGGGCGAACGAAGGTTTTTATTTTCATTTTACCAAAACTTCAGATCAAATTACCCACAACAACCACTTCTCCCATATGGGAGCATTTTAATATATCAAAACTGATGATCCTTTATATTTTATTCTGTTACGTCATAGTCAGCAAGAAGATTTTAATGGTTTGAAATAGGATCATCTTGTTCTTATAGCTTAAAATTGCTTGTCTTGGCTATCTTCCACTTGGGTACAAAAAATATACTGGTTGCATTCATATACAAGACTTTTCATTCGGGGTTACCAAAATTCCGTACAAAAAACGTATTTCACTTATAAGAATGAAACAAGTACTGTATGAAAGAGCACTTCAAATGGCTTTTTTCCATATATAACCATATTTTCATACCGAGGTTCGACCATTGAATTTATATATAACTATATATATATATATATAATTAACTATATAGTTATAAATTCAATGGTTCGACGATACTTTACAACACGTATACAAAGTGTAGAAATCTGGCCGATAAATAGGACATGGCTGATATTTGGGACGTGTACCTTAAGTGAAATAGTTTTTTTGTACTGAATTTTTGTAACCCAAAACAAGATTTCGAAATGCCCTGTATATTAAGAGGACTTTTGAGAATACACCTCTAAAGTCCAATTCTCTTCAAATAAAAATTATTTGTTTAATCGTCATATATTTTTGAGCAAATTTGATCTTCTGGTTTTTCTTTGTTAGACGCATGGGTTTCCCTTAAAAAAATAAAAGTCGTTGTACTTTAGGATCAATTTCCTAAAAATAAGCGAAATCATGCAAATTTCGTTTTCATTTTCTGTAGCTTAAACGGTCGGAAGTGGGCGGTTCTCGTTAGCACTTTCTCTTTTTAAAAAAACCAACTTGAAGTAACGAAGCATGAGCCAACTTGCAGTATAATCGTAACTCACACAAAACTAAAAATATTTTAGGAGAAAAGGGGTCAATGAATATCTACATGTACAAATTTTCAAAAATCTACTCAGTTTAGTTTCCCATATAAGAACAAATTTAGCTCGTAATTGGACACCCTGTACAATAGCAACCTAAGGACGTCTTTTTCGACTTTAAATTACATTAATTCTAATAAACTTACCATCCTGAATATGTACGAATTTACAGGCCGGCCGGTTGCAGAGGCCTCGATTAAAATCTTGGCACACCTGGAGGGTGTCCAGTAACTGCAACGTGAAATCAGTTTAATTAGTGAGATGCTTGCACAGTGACACGAAAAACTAGAAATTAATTATTAGCGTACATAAATTTTTTTTCACACGTATTGTCACACAGGAGTAAGTATTTTGGAAAAACATGTACGTCTATAATTTAAAAAATCCTGTGTTATATTACTAAAACATGCCAATTAATTGATGAATTAAAAGAATTCCAATTCTACCAATGTCGCTTAAGAAAAATTTTATAACTTCAAGCATTCTGCATAACTAATAAAATACTAATCAATACTACTTTGCTAGTACATTTTATCTTATATGTCCTATTTACATCGTAGATACACTTAAGGTATTAATTTAAAAAATATTACAATATATTTGCAAAAAAAAGCTGGACTTAACAAGTGATATAAATATGTTGAAGACCAAAACCATTAAGCAGTGTTAATAAATAGTTGGCAAATATAGCGGTGGATTTCATGCAGAATGTTTGAAGATCTAGTCATAAAATACCATATAAGTTATTTGTTAATAACTTGTACGGCATTTTAGCTATTAAAAAAAGGAGTTTAAGCACAACTACTACTCAGCGTAAAAATAACTAAACTGTTTTAAAAGCATTAATAAACATCAAAAAATTAATGCTGCAATCAGACAGTGATGATGTCAAGTTAGTATTTCAATATGCACTTTAAATATGTAAAAAGACATTTAGAATGTTAATGTTTGCATCAGCATATTACACACAGTAAGGAAGCAACTTACTTAAAATTGATATGATGAACTTGATATGATGATGCAAATTGTTAAAAATTTGTTAAATTCATCAGTTAATAAATAGAACAATTTTTTAACATGTGAGCTGTATCCACGAATTCAAAATATTTTAAGTATAAATACCATTTCGGAGGTGTTGATAACTCTAGCGCAGTACAGCAAACATGAATTTCAACATACAGTCTATACCTGTCCATGGTCATCAGTGTAGATCACAAAAGGGGCGTTTGAGGGCACAGGCGGGCCATTGTCTAGGGCCGGCGACATGCAGCGACCAGCAGTGCAGCAAGCCAACGTCATCGCAGCCAATCAGCATTACGATAACATTACGTTACAGCAGTACATATACCCACCATACACCATTACAATTGCATGTGAAGTAGACAGCGTGCGGGCATATTTTTTTACGTTATTGTATTTTAAGAATTTTAAATAATATACACAGCAGTTAATGTAAGGCGTATATCGTTATTCGTTTGTACAAAGGTAAGCGTAATTTTTTTTAAATAACGGATGTATAGTGAAGAGTGGAAGATGTGTAACACAATACAATTCATTTGCGTGGTGTTGGTGGGTAAACCCAAAACCACAAGTGGTATGCACACCATTAGTGCGCAATAACAGCAAATGTACAAAATTAAACCAAAACAGCGATTCAAAAATATAGGTATATATAGCACAAATTAAAAGTTGAAATAAAATTTTGTTAAAATAGAAACATCACGAAGACCAAACCAGAGGTAAGCATGAAACAAAAAAAAAAGCAAATTAAATTAAATCAACTGTATCTAATTCTAGTAAAACTGCAATAAATATGAATGTATCATCCTTGCTATGCGGATGCAGTACAGAAAACATACAATTTTGTAATGCATTCTGAAAATAAAAAAAACATATACCAATTGCGTACTTTATTTTTTTCAATGAAACAGATGTCTTATTTAAACATTCAAAAAGGATGGATCTTCTTAATCGAGTTTATCCAATTTTTCACAAAATTAAACGATTAAAATTAAGCAAAACTGATTTGTAAGCGTATACAGTAGGTGTTAATGTTTAGAATTAACAGAAATGCTATTTAAAGAAAGTCTGCATGCAAAGCTTCAGATGATTTGAAACTACTTATACATTAAGGGCGGAGCTGGGCCTTACTTTAAATTGTAAATATCTTATTTTACAATACAATACACTCCCTTTTGGAAGATATTACCGAACATAACCATTAATATGACATTTTATTTAATTTTTAATTTAGGGCGCACCATATTCTCAGTTGTTAAGCAGTATTTTGCCCAGCTCTGCATGACCACATATTTGATGAGGCATTAAATTACATAAACAGTTGCTTTGGAAGAATTACCACTTGAATCCTTCTGAATACAATGCTATCAAAAGTTGTATACAAAGTAAGGTACTCAAATTGTGCATATGATTCAGTCGGTACTAATTTATGTAATTTAACTTTGAAGGATGAGTGAGAAAAAAATATTGATTGTTGTATTTGAAAATAGCATGATTGGTTAGTACTTTACTGTAAAAGTACAATTTAGTAACTGTGAGTAATACTGTTTGTCTGCTGCGTAAATTGAGTTAAGTAACACAAGCCTTAGTGCGGTAGGTACTGTAAAATAACAATAAGGTATTATTAATTAATAAGAAAAGCGTTACGTGTTGAGTAATCTGCGTTTCTACATTTAGTGTATGGCTGCTTCTGTAAACATAACACCTTAGGAATAGAGAGCATTAACTTATAAAACAAAGAGTGTAAATCACAAGACAAGCGAATAATACTGCACTACCTCCACTCCAATGAAATTGTACTTACTACAAGCTAAAAAGTATCTAGCAAGATAATCAAACAAGTACATAGAAATTGTATGATTACTATATAGCCGTTAAGTTGGTCTACAACTTTCGAAGAGCACCATAGCAGTTTAAAACACAATGTTCACTTTGCATTAGTAAAAAATGGTATACAAATGCTTTACACATTTACCTACAAGAAATCCTGCGCAGTACGCATACTGCCAAACTAAATAATTATAGTAGAATGGGCAGATGCGCATTGCTCAAGTATCCAATCAGAACGGAAGCAGAAACCTGCCAAATAAATTTGAAAGTTTACTATAAAAAAGCCAGCTGTAAAATAACACTTTCTATAGGCAAATTCACTATGTTTTTGGTAAACACTTGGTAATGTAGAAGCTAAGTTTGAGCACTTGTAGTAGCGTGTGTGATTCTGGGTATAAAAATTAATGGACGAGGTATAAGACAATCCAATAAGAAGCAATGATTAATAAAACAAATATCATGCATTTTCAAGCATTATTATTACAAACAGTGGCTGTGACATAATTACATACACCTCTGGATTAGAATAGTACAGTAAATAATATAAATAGGAATATAGGCTGTCACACTAAGTGGCGAGCGTGACCCACACCTTTTGCGATAAGCGTGATCAGCGGCCCAAGGCACTATATTATTGTGAGTCAAGATGGAAGGTGGCTGGCAGCTGATTACGCACAGTTGCATATGCTACGCGATCTAGTGATAAGACATTGAAGAAGTTTAAATGTGTGTGCGTCGCGTAAGCTATGCAACCGCAGCAATGTTGTTACTAACATACTAGCTTAGCAGGATGGCCACATCTCCAAATACCTAGCCTATTATCAAACTGTATACTAGAAATGCAATTTTACACAACATTATACGAATACCTACTTACAATAGTTTACATTATCTATATTTAATTATATTCAATACAAAGAAGCGTCACAACATAAAATACTTTGATAATGACATAAAGCAGTTTATATTTCCGATGAAATAATTCTAGAAACGACAGCTCCTTTCAAACTGTCAATAGTTACATCACAAATTCTATTCTAAGACAAAATGCACTAGCCTATCTCGATTAACAGTAGTAGTAAAAGTGGGAAGATAAATAAATAAAGAATCTTGGTGAAGAAGTACAACACGTAAAATCTAAGTGCTTGAGATCAAACCCAGGAAGACAAATTATTATGAGGCTAATAGTATAATAAAAAAAAAGAGGTACTTAGTAACAGAAATCAGTAGGGTCAGTACTGAATAAAAAAAATTGACAAGTGAAATAACCCAACCCAAAAAGAAGTGTATTTCGTTAAAACCAAAAAAGTTAACGTCATGAGTACTAAAATCGCATGCAGAACACGTATTTAAAGCCCCAGACATGCAAAGTTTCGACTAACACATACACGGAGATTGCAAGACACGCGGCTGTGACATACACGGCATCTTTTTGGGTCAGTTACAACTACAGACTGTACCTACAATAATGGCACTGTCTAACAAGACTAAAATCTACCATGCTATCGATAAAGAGGATTAGGGATTGTTTAAGGAAAAAGAATGTGTACAAAACCACCATGCAAGACACTAACAAATTTATCACCACTTTCACCTCAAATACAACAATTCTTAGCAATTATATAAAATTATTAATATTTTAAAGTGGCGTTAGGGGGGGCGGATTTATATAGCGGTGCATACAGCGGGAGTGAGGATATCACAAGCACTAGGCACTCGCTTGGTCCGGGGTCGCTCAGCGCACGCCCATTCATAACCACTAATAGTTTTTTTTATTATTTTGACTAGACTTCTATATGTAAACAATTTATAATATATCAACTTTATATTATTATAATATTAAAATGACAAAACAGGACATACGATTATGTTGTTAAGATAGACGAATTACATGAACAATTACTCACTCTAGGAGGTTTTCAATTTTTTGTACGGTTGTACTACCGTATTGTTATTGTTTTGTGCGGCGGCCGCTGCAATGTGAGTTGGTGGAGGAACGTTGGTTATGGGCGTCGCGGCAACGGATACCGGGTATTGTGCCGTTAATAAGTTGGGTGTTAAAAGCTGAGGTGTGGTCGTAGCTGGGTAGGGCGCCCGAATCAGTGAATATGGATAGTTTAAAGTAGATGGTGGTCTACTCATATTTAACAAATTGGTGTGCGTAAGAGCATACGGATGTATACCGATATTCAGGTTGGTTGCGGCGCCTAATGTTAGAGGCAGCGTTGGATACCGCTGAATGTTCGCGGTTGTTGGTATACCCACAGCCTGTTTGTTGAGAGCGACACCTGTGTAATTTAACGGATTCAAGTGACTCAAAGAACTCGCAGCTAAAGACTGACTAGCTGCCGCCAACTTTACTGCCTTGGCGTAATTTTGCTGAGCAACCTCTTTGGCCAATGCGGCGGGATCGGGTATTGGGGGTGGGGGTAATGTAACCGGCGTAGAGACGGGAGGAATTAAATCCTCCTCTTTTACTTGCGATACTTGGGAAGTGGGAGGAACTTGTTGGATATCTGCGGCGGCAGGGGAAGCGCTTGAGGTGGGAGCTGGCGTGGGAGAGGCCGAGTACTCACATGAAACGGGCACAAACGGCTGTTGCAACTGCATAAGTTGCTGGTATGTAGTTGCGTTAGGTTGATAGACTGGCACTCCTGATTTGTCAGCTGCAGGTCGTTTATATGGCACCATGCCAGGGAAGGCCTAAAAAGTTATCCATGATACAATTGAACGCCCTGCAGATACGCAAACAGTTATTGTGACGAACGCATGCGTGCCGCCAATTAGACAAGTAGTAGGTATGTACATGTTACATCTCCGTAAAATGTATTGGATTCGATCTGATTTTTAGAAATGTATAGTCCTAATTTGAAAATTATTCCATTTTTTAATACTTCTAATTTGCTACAAAATGTTTTTCACACAAATAAACTCAAAATAAAATAATTCTAAGTGACGCGTTTTTAATGACTATTTTAAGATCTTGATGTGTGCATTATTGTTTTTGTCTGAAGTTATTCGTTTACTTTGAGTAAAAGAATATATCTTTGTTACATACTTTCTTCAAATATCATACTCCACTTGTAGTATGATCTTTGCTTTCGTATACAGACTGTAAAAATTTCAGTTTGTCTATAACCCAAGAAGCAAGAAATGAGTGACAATTTGAACAATCCATCAAAGTAAGAATAACAATGTAGACGCTACAAGAGAATATCACAATACGTAAGTATATGCACCAGCTTCATCTATACTTGACCTAAAAGTAAATGTGTCTATTACGAATGAAAAATGCCACAACAAAATGAATGATTGACAGAAACATTCGGGTTAAATCTGCTGAGCGAATGTTACATAAATAATGATGGAAGTAAAACAGTAAATAATAGAAATGGTAGCAAATGAATAATATAAAAATAATCACTTACAAAGTTTTCATAGTAGAAGGAACCAACTGATTTCATGTCCATCTGTAAGTAAAGAATTACAAATGATATTAGTAATAATCGCATAAAAGAAATGAATGATTAATAGAAAAAATCAAATATACTGCAAATATGATTCACAAAAGTCCCAAGAACTAGTACGAAAATCATTATTGCAGTAATTGTATTAGTAATTACGACACGTCTTGGCAGTCAATACCACTCAAATGCATTGTTATTTCAATAAAAATGAATTACTGAACTTAATAATTGACGGCAAGACCAAATAGTTATTTAATATCACATGTGTTATGAAATAAAAAAAGTTTGGCTGTAATTGTAGTTGCTAGAATGTTGCGAGTTTAGACCCATCAGGACAAACTGTAAAATTTGAAAAGTATTATGCAAAGCCAATTGCTGCTAAAATATATATATGTGACCTGGATTATTTAGCATGCAAACATATAAGTGAAAGCAAAAGCTTCAATAGAAAGCGTAGGTTTTTAGGACAACTTTGTATTTAAGACTTCATAAGCGGAATCAGCCTCACAACATGCTAACAACTTTGGTGGTAGCAGTTCGCGCTTTGCTCAACGCCTCGTCAAAATACAAAAGCTTCAAATATCTAGAGACAACACAACGGTTTTCGTAGAAGCAATCCCTCTGAATGGAAATACGGTATTGTACATTGTTCAAATATCTTAAAGCAACAAGACTGGTATGTAGGAAATTGAGCAAACTCAAAGTTTGTATATAGACTTCATATTTAAGTGTGCCCACCCTATTTGCAAGATACAGCGATAATTATATCTACGTAAGCAATGGTGTGTTGAATCACAAAACAAGTGCATTAAAGTGACTAGCAAAGAAGCATGACCAAGTTGCACAGAAGCTCTGGTACCTTAACGCAACGTATCGGCTAATCAATTTTGAAAATGATTTGCACAATATGAAATCTCATCTTATTTTAACACAAATACTTGGCAAACCACTACCTGCATGTTTTGCTGTGTAGGTATTGTAAATGTTACTAATTTATCAATTTTGCAACATGTATACTTCAGAAAAAACGAAACGTGACAAAAAAACATTATGAAGTATACACTACAAATAAATAAAGTGACATGCAAAGCAGCGGCAATATGGTACCAGTAGTAGATCTGTGTCGGCGGTGCTAGGCTCGCGAGGTCTCTTCTTGCCGATCTCGAGGGCGGCAGCAGTTTGTGGTGCCAGTAAGGGCGACACCGCAGCGGGCTATTAGTAGCGCAGCAACAAGACCAAGCACATCCGCCCAACGGGATAAATAAAACAAATCAGCACTAAATTAATTGAATGCTAACACTGCCAGTTTGTGACAGAATGAGACAATACTACATTAAACCATTAATTATACCAATTAATAGAACTGGCAGCGAAAAACATGTAATTAAACGCATCATAGAAATTGATTCTTAAATTTTTTGAAGTGAACGCGTCAAACTTTTGCAACTGGCAAACGCAGAGCCAGTCGCAGAAAAAATTCGCCATGCAGTTCAATAGCTGAAAAAGAAATTTCAAATGGCTAAAAGCATTTGAAGAACATTTTTATACAAGATCCTCAGGCAAAGATACCGCGCCCAAAAAACAAATCATTCCGTCAAGGTTTCTTTGCCCGAAAATCAAAATTCAAGGTTTAGAAACGTGGCTTTAGCATTTGTCTGGCCCATAACCTTTGTAATATACAAGTTTTGAAGCATGCAAGCTGAAATAACAACTGTTAAAAGACACTGACGTCAAAAGCGTATACTAACAAATATAATGAACTTCAATTACAGCTTAAACATGTTTAAATGGTAAAGAATACAAACTGGAGTCTGCACCTGAAAATTGAAACATCTCTTTATTAGTGTGTGTTAATGAAAATTCGTGACGCAATGAGAATTCCAGCTGCAAACAAGCCCTTCATCTTCGTCAGTACTAACTGTGTATTATGTGTAGTGTACCGTTCGTGTTTTAAGTGGAAACAAATCAACGCTAATCATTACTGAATATCTTTACCATTCACGGATGATTGATTCAATGAAACATTGGACAGTGACGATTTCATTGAAAATTCTCAGTGTTCAAGATATCATTTAATTGTGCTAGGATTGGTTGCTGTGTAATAGCGAGCGGGGTGTATGTAGCCACTATTCAGCCAATTACGGAGCTAGAGGTACACACAATACACTATAAAAAATTTGTGCAGCGACGAGCACTAATTAATTAACCCATCTTGTATATCTTAGCGTCGAAAGTAATTACATTTTTTGTTTAAGTAAACTGAATAATCAAATAAAAATGTAATTACTCGAGATCGCATCGCACTCCTTCTTACTGTTCGGTACAAGGCTAGCATTTCTGTACTGAATGTGATTCTTTGTAACACTCTTAAGGATAGCCTTCCTTGTAAACGAAACGGTTGTAGATTTGGAGTAACATATTCTGTAATAACTACAGCAGCAAAGGATAGCATATGTTCGTTTAAGTATTGGTTATAGGGTAGTGACATTGTGCAGGTATAGCAGGGCTTGTTGGCAGGGCGCAGAAAGTGGCAGCCGGGGAAAGTTCCCATGCTAGATAGGGCGGATTGACAGAGCGAAGCAAAATACTGAAGCGGCATCCAAGTACCACAAAGCAGAAAAGATTAGGGTCTAGGCCGCCTCGGTACTTGTTTCGCATCCTTCTACAGGACACTACCACCACCAGTTCAACCCAAAGTCAGCGAAAGAAGATAGCACTTACACATTTCATTGCATCATGAATCGCATCATATGCTAAAAAATTAAAATTAACGCTACGTCACTACTGGAAACAACACCAAACTATAAAAACACCTATTAAAAAAAACCTTTTCCTCTTAGCTTAGTATAGTAACAAAAACAGCAAAACTGATAAAAAAAACAAACAAAAAAGGTAAGTAACTGTATATAGTTGGACAGACACGTGCACGGTTTAAGTGACAAGAGCACAAAAAAACATTTCACAAACCGTATGTCCAACTGGTATCAGTTTATGATGAACTCAAAAAAAAGAAAAATGTTACAGAAACACATCACAACAGCTACTACAGCTAGCTAGAAGATATTCTATTGTTACGGTGCCCATGGTTCAATATTTGATCAACCAAAACTAATGTTTGAATCATAGGCACTAAGAGCAAGAAAGAAGAAAATAGCGTGCGCCCTAAAGATTGCGTAGCATACCGCGCTAGCCCGAGACTGTGCGGCCTTGATTTGGGCTTGGAGGTGCAGAGGGGGATGGAAATAGCGGCAGGGGTCGCGGTTGCAGCGTCCCTTGACTGCATCCATGCAGACAGTGACAGTGCCGTCCTCGTTGGCCGTCACAGAGTCGGCGGGATGCGCAAAGCGGCACTCAGACTCTGCTCGCTTGCACGCCCCGCGCTGGAACTCGCGGCAAACCTACAGCAGACATCCGGCTCAAGCCACTGCTGCAGTTCCCTCAGCTCCCTACTAATGCTAAATGGACATTAAAGGGAGCTGAGGTTTTTGCAATAAACCTACAGGGATTATTTAGTGCTTTTTAAATCTATGTTTTAACTCTTCGCAGGAATTGATCAATTTTACCACAGTGGTTGCTTGAAAATAAACTGAATATATACTACATAATGTTTCACATTACACTACATAGTGAATAACTCTCTATCGAGCAAATTACATCTACAACTATGACAATTTTGCAGACAAATAGGAAGACATATGGCAGCAAAAATTAAACAGCTGCAGCGTGCAGAGCGTAAATCGATAGAAAGTTATAAGTGCTCAGATAGTTACAATAGCAAATTATTACTTCTATTTACAGCAAGATTAACAAATATATACAATATGTATGAGTTTGGCTGCTGGGAATACTAATATAGCGCTATGTGTTTGTGTTAATATGTATAATATTGCACATTATAAATACAGTTCGCTTTTGGTTGAAGCATTAATTGATTTTGTTTTAAGGCGAAAAATGGGTTTGAAACAACCATGCCAGCAAGAAACAAAAAAATACAGCAACACAATCCTAGCAAACAAAAAATTTTTTTTTGCAAAATAAAAACAACACAATAATAATGTTAGTTCAGTTGGTAGGAATGTAAAGAGATGGTCGGGTGGAAAAAAAGCAACCAGAAGATGAGAGAAGCAAAATAGCGGTTAGCGAAACGATAACTTTTCCTATGATACTGTAAAATAATAGTTGTCGGCTTTCAATTAATATTTCATCAAAAGCATAAATATTCCTTAATATAATCTTAATAATATAAGTGTATATAAATTGGAGAACGACATACCTCCAATCTGTCGGAGCGGGGCATTTTTTGCTGGGTTACGACAGTTTGTGGAACAACGCCCAATGGTGACGCTACTCCGGAAGGATCTGGACCGACTATTGTGGGCATAATGGGACCTGGCGCAAAATATGGGCTGTAAGTGCTTCCTACTTGAGGTACTCCGGTGAGGTATGGATTTGCGGCCTGTAACAGATGATTTATATAGCTTACGTAGGTAAAAAGTCGTGTCCGAAGTTGAAAACAAAACTGATATTTTACAAAAAGAAGCACATTTGCATGCAAAGCGGTTAAAAGTATGCTAAAATTCACAATTAAAAAGGATAAGATTTGAAATGCAATCGATTACACATCAAATCCACACCACTTCCATAGGTCACATGATTCAAAGACCGAGAGCAAAAAAATGTCTTCGCAATGTTCGGTGTTAGATGCCGTTTCATGAACTCATGCAGATTAACACACAATATACCAATTTTCATCAATCATCGGTCATTGTAGTGGTAATGTAAATATGGGAAAAATTAACATACAATGCTACCATTAGACAGATCGAATTTTGCCTTTTCCTTATTAGGTGTCAGCCAGAAACAAGATCGTTAACTACCATGTATAAAATGGTCTTTCAATTCGTTACTAATTGACTAATTAAGGAATAGGTATTCTCCGTTCGCAAATGTAAAACGCGTGGCAACTAATCCTAAAAAACTATGCGACCCATCTGCATCGATTGCGATTATCGCGGGAACGGCAATCGATGCAGTAAAATGGCTTTTCTGTGGAACTGCACTTAAACATCTACAAATAATTTAAAAGTACAGTGGAATTGATCGCGATTTTATTCAGGAATAAATTTAATATTTAGATGGGTGAAGGAAAAGCGGTGAATACCTTGCTATGAAAATTTTATATCGACAGTAATGTATATGGATGGCCTCGAGTCTACGGGGGTAAATACTGATGTCTACATGCAACGGATTAATAATTAATACACTACGACCAGTACGTAAAGATTTTTGATTGTTATTGCTGTCTGAACGATTTTTAATAGATATCAAACGAAAAGCTCTAAAAAGCATAAATTAGATGCGTAAGCGATATTAAGCTGCGGCGTTTTGAATTTATAGGTATAAACGGTTATAAGTTACCATAAGTGCGCACTGTTCATCTAGTGACATGGAAGGGTGCGGGAACAAGGTGAGAGGAAGGCTGCAGGCCGATCCATCCACCTCCAACAAGAACCCAATTAGTAATGACACCAGCTACAGCGACCAGACGCATGCACTATACGCCTATTTCGACTGCATTGAGTTAATAACAAATAAAAAAAAAACAAAAAATATACAACAGCCCACACAACGTGCACTGCGAACATTAAAAAATAAATTTGTATAAATAAAACAAAATTCTCTGCACATTTGCAGTCTGATGCATACACACGCTACCTACACTTTCCCCTACCACAATAGATCACAATTAAGGTATTACTAATTCTATACCCATATTTATGAATGTTAAGAAACAATATTGTATAAACAGGAAGTCGGGTTCCTGTAGGAAACTTGTATTCCGACAGTCGGCTCTGCTTGCTAATTATATGAACGTACATACTACCACTAAATTTAACCAAATTTATACGACAATTTTACTAATACTGACTTGATAATATTTACGATTAAGTTGCCACATTTCACCTCTATCGCCACTAATGTTCCAACAACTTATAATACACTCTATCGATTTATGAAGTACTACATTAGGAAGTGTACAAGTAACACCAGCTATCGGTTATTTCTAGAATGACACCTTAACGTCCTTAACTCAATTACATCGGGTTAAAATAGGACTTTAATATTATTGTATTGAATTTACAAGTTCTTGGTAAATGTATCAAATGAAACTGATCTATGATTGTTTGTGTACATACAGATCCGATCAGCTTTCGAGATCCACATTGTTTTAAAAATGTTTACTGCGAGTTTTCTATTTTTGACAACGCCTTTTGTAATGTCTTTTCCACTATCTTGATGAGTATTGCGATTGCCTATTCTAAAATACCGTGGTTAAACCGATTTGTGACATTTATAATAGGTGACATTTTTAACATCTTCAGTGGAGCATATTATGTTAACCAGTTAACCTATTGAAGAATACAAGAAAAATACTCAACAACGTTTCGGTAATACAGAAGAACAAAATACAAAATTAGCTCCAACAACCTGTCAAAATTTAATGAGCTCGTTCATAAGACACAATAGTTACCGATCGGGAACAGTTGTGGTCTTATGTCACAATCCCTACTTTGGCATATAAGTCAGTGTTCGCATATCGGATTAGCGCTTATATTCACAGCGCGCATGAGGTTATACATCTTTCCTTATTTAAAACATGACATTTGAGGTAGAGGGCAAGTGCGTATCTAGTTTTACGAACCGCGGGCGGTGAACTAAGAATTACACTGGACGTTACAGACGTTTAAAATGGAAGTTGTTGCAGCAAAAAGAGAAAGCAATAGTTAAGGTACCTATGTTGGTCTCGGAATGGGCAACACCCACTTAAAAGCGACAAAGCCAGTGACACTCAAATGTTTTATTTTACTTTTGGGGAAGTAGATAATTATGATGATGATAATTACGTAAGTATATAAATTGATAGGAAAGCGTTAATTGTCAGCGCACACATTTGTAATACCATAATTACTAGTGAAAGTGTTAGTGTTAATATGATTTCAATCAGGATAATGTAAAATATGCGATAAAACGTTTGAGTGTCACTGGCTTGACGCTTTTAAGTGGGTGTGTCCCATTCCGAGACCAACATACCTTAACTATTGCTTTCTCTTTTTGCTGCAACAACCTCCATTTTAAACGTCTGTAACGTCCAGTGTAATTCTTAGTTCACCGCCCGCGGTTCGTAAAACTAGATACGCACTTGCCCTCTACCTCAAATGTCATGTTTTAAATAAGGAAAGATGTATAACCACAGCTTACTTACTATCCAGCTCCGCAACTCTTGAGCGGCGCCTTTGATCTGGCGGTCTACAACCAAGCGAGATGGAATGGTGCCCTCCTTCTTGCGCTTGGGGTAAAAGTCGGGGCCGGATTAAACGTATTTTCATCGCGCGGTCGCTTCACAGTACCGTAGTAGGTGATTTTTGAGCTGTATTGTAATGTGAACGTTTAGAATTTGCTGTACAATATTACGTAATATTGCAATGAAACTAGGGTTAGGAGTTTAATACATTTTATTGCCTAATTGAATTGAATTCGGGACAATGGCCAACGTGGCAACACTGGGCTTGATTGCACGCCAAACAGGCAATGCAGTCTTTTACCCCAAGAGGCGGAACATAAGCGCTGCGCGCGTAGATCGGCGCAAACCGCTCCCGCCAAGAGAGTTGTGCAGCTGGATAGTAAGTAAGCTGTGGTATAACCTCATGCGCGCTGTGAATATAAGCGCTAATCCGATATGCGAACTTACTCATTTTACTGACTATACCTATGTAGCGTTACTAAAAATGACCGACTGCTCCGTAAAGAGCGTAAAAGTAGCGACGTAATTATAAGATGTATCGATAACTGTTCCACAACAGTTGTGTCTTATGAACGCGCCTAATGACCACATGGTTACATACCACAAAACATAACCTCGAAAATTGAAAGAGATCACCACTTTTAATCTTCTTATGGTTGCTCATCTACGCAATTGTTATTTTGGCAGGTGTAGTTGCCAAACGAATCGAAATTGGAATTTGAATTGGAAGTTTGAATTTAAACTCAAATTGAACTTAAAATTTGGGTTCTAATTGGAACTATTCAAACATGTTCGGGATTCGGGAAGAAAGTCAGAACTTCGCCAACCCTAGGTAACTAACCTTTCGAAGCTTGTGGGCAAGAGAAAATTTGAAATTCTCGCCATACCTATCAAGCAAATAGAAATCAACTCGCTAGAAGAATCTTTAGTGATGGTGTTGTCCGATTAATCCATTTTCCAAAAGGTGTGCCCGCATACCATTATTTAAAGTCTCTTCCCCCTGAATAATCTAAGCAAGAATGCCAGAAATTATTGTACTACAGTCATGTACTTTTTACTACCTCTCCCCCACCCATCTGGCATTCTTGCTTAGATTATTCAGGGGGAAGAGACTTTAAATAATGGTATGCGGGCACATCAAATCCTAAAGGAAAGACTGTTCTTTCGTCAAAAATACCTCGAGGAAAATGTAGGTTTTCAAAGAAAAGTGACTTGACATTTGACAATTTAATAATGAATAAGATTTTTTGATCGAGGCGATTAATTATATACTAGCTTGAATTAGCTGTTAGCCGAGTACCAACTGGAATACAGTTCAATTGTTCACCGACTTGGCGACTTCCCATTTATCATTGTGCATCGTGTAACAAATGTGACCATAGCAATGCGCTACTTGCAATATGAAGAAATAAAAAGTTAAAAACAAATTTATAATATTTAGCAAACTATATGTTTGTCATCATCGAAACGGATGTAGGACTTACAACTGCGGGCACTTGACCAGGTACTATCGGTTGTCCCGGCGTAAGACCCATCTGCTGCATGAGAGCATTTTTCAATGCCAGATGGTTCCTTCCGTTGATAAGTAATTGATCCTTCAAATGCTGTGGCGGGGGAAAATACTTGCATGGCGGTTTCTCTCGATTACACCGACCCTGAAACGAAAATCATCTGTTAATGTCACAAAATATAATTACCTAAAGTGGGTACTAGTAAAATTGCAGCATTCGCGATCAATGTTCCAGAATTGTTCAATTATAGATTCGCATCTCGCGCTATTACGTAAGCTTAAAAGAAAAGTGCGATGATGGCTAACTTTATCAGATGAAAAGAAATGAGCTCATTAGGAGAAATAGAGCACGACGATTTTCAATCTGATAGTAAACTCTTCAGGGCGCGAATCAATACTCGGATGGCAATAATAATTGAGGAAGCTCGCGATGTTTGTACATTTATGTGAGCAAAAAGAAACCTAAGTGAAATGTTAAGACAACTTGAAAAATAGATTGTTATCCCGATTGACGGGGTTTTAAAGTGATGTGCAGACAGACGCAAGCAAGACATCTTCTATGTAATCCCCCCGCCTGATGATGTTGCAAAATCTGTTGAATCATCTCGCACGGGGAACAAGTTAGAATACTGACAAATGTAAATGAGATTGAGGTGATATGTTGGAAGGCGGGTATAAGAAAATGTCGATAAAGGAATATAAAAGGTCGAGATGCCTATCTAACAAGGACAAAGTTAATAAAGCCAAATTCCTATGAGAGGAAAGCTCGAGGTTCATTCGTGAAAACAATAATATACGAGTATTATAAAAAGCAAATTGCGACTGTATAAACGAAGTTGGGAAACTTTTGTTGGTTGAAATTATCGCGGTCGGTTTAAAAATTGTGTGCGCGAATGCCAAATGCGATAAGGAAGTTCATGACGTGCTAAGCCGAGACGAAAAATATCCCCGATCGGTAAGCAAGAGAGACTTGTATGTAAGCTAATAAAGGAGTAATAATCCGCTATACTTTGTAAAATCACAAAGAACTAGGTAAACAAATATGGCTTGTCGAATATAGATTAGAATTCTGGAAATTAATTCTGGCGTATTGCGAAAAGCGGATTATCAAGTAAATATCTTGAACTGGTCCCAAACTTTCGGCAAGCACTTTGAAGTTTACTAATTTGGTCATTTAATCCTAAAGGGAAAGTGTTGGGGCACATGCAGTTCACTGATGATAACACTAGGGCCGAATTCAAGTTTTGTACGCATTTAATTTTTTATGAACTCCAAATAATTCCTAATATACGAATATTATACATCATACAAACAGGCCAGTAGGCAAACTTCTTCGACAAATTGAATCTCTGCTTGAACTCTATTTGATGTTTCAAAAGCCACAGTACGCCCGTAATTTGTCCTTCAAAGAAAAAAACTACGCTCTTCCAGCGCCGATAGCACGTTACTTTACACACTTCCAACTTTCTAGAAGCTTTTGATTTGAAACACGCAAACATCTTGTTCCATTTTGTGGCATCATTCTTCATTATGTGAAAAAGATTCTAGCTTTGATGATGTAAAAAGACGCCGCGCGCTCCTCTGTATCTTTCCTTTCAGACTTTGTATTGTGCTTAGAAATTCTCTTTAATGTCTGAACGCACTATCCTTTACCGTATCTACAGCCAGTCCCTACGAGACCTTAACAGCCCATTTAACTACTATAAAAAGCTAAGTGCCTTTATCTCATTATGGATCTCTACATTCTCCAATGCAGCTCATTTATACCAAAATTAGTGTTTATTTGCCCTAATTTTAACGGAATCTCGCATCCTTCTTTCACAGACCTGCAAAATTCTAAATTGCATTCAATAATTATGATGACGCGTTTCCAAAACATTGTAAAATATTTAGGAAAAAATCAATGTTTACTTTAATGCGCTGATTTTGACAATCGAACGTAATTTGAGTTATAGTGAACCAATAAAATACACATAGCGATCAAAAATGAGTGATCGTCGAGTCACCTTTGGAACTTTTGTTTACATGGGAAATCGTACTTCCAAAGGCGACTCGACAGTCGCTCATTTGTGATCGCCCGCCGATACATGTTTTTTTCTATTTCGGTGTCACAATGATGATTTTGTACAACTGTTTTCAGCCAAAAACAGTTGTACAAAGACAGTGATTATAGTCGTTTTTTTTTTTGGTAACTCTTATCTTAAGTTGGCAGTTACTAGTTAGTACAAGTAGGTACTTCGTTGGGTACTTCCCGGTACTTCCATATTTGAACTTCAAAATGTCAGTCTTACTACGCTGCCAACCTAAAACTTAACGGCATAAAAAGTGTTCCCAACTTAAAACATGTTAGTTCTAATGTTCCCTATAGTTTCTGATAATGATTTTTTTAATTAAATTAAAGCACCGAAATAGAAAAAATAGTATGAAAAACGCGTGTTACAATGCTTTATTGTAATACTCCTATCTTGCGGACACTCGTGGGCTACGCTTCGCGTCGCCACTCGTGCCACAAGATAGTCGTATTACAATAGGTCGCATTGTAACACTTGTCTTTCAATATACTATTCTGAATAGCATACCTTCTATCGTATTTCGTGTTCATAACCAATAACACAATGATTTCCTTTGAGGACTATTTCTGCTAATATTTTCGCAACACGTGCTTATAGTGTTGGTAATAAGGATTTCCAGGATTATGTTTGGTTCGAATAAAGGTTGATTCTCACTTAACATAACGTTTCCATACCATATCCTTTCCATAACCATTCCGTAAATTATTATACCTAGGAAATTGACCTTTAAGTGAAATGTGCGTAAGACATTCAGCCGCGCGCTAATACACATTCTCCGTTCCGTTCACATATGGAAGGCGAATGAGTATTAGCGCGCGACTGAATGTCTTACGCACATATCACTTAAAGGTCAATTTCATAGGTATAATAATTTACGGAATGGTTATGGAAAGAATATGGTATGGAAACGTTATGTATAGTGAGAATCAGCCTTAAAACTTCACGCGAAAAAAACTGTTGAAGTAATGTGGGAAAAATTTTGTAATGACGTCATTGCACTCTTAGTTGAAGTATTAAGGTTTGGATTTAGAGAATATAGGCAACTGGTGATGCACATGTAATTCAATGGGGCGTGCATTGCCTCAGAACTTCATTCACCATTCCATAAGCAAGGGGTGTATATGATCGGAAAAATATGCATTAGGTAGATAGATGTACAGAGCATAGTTTCCATACAATATAAACTGATATTTTGTCCATTAATATATGTTTAAAAAATCTAGAAAACATGCGTCAAAAGAGTTCATAGTTTAGCAATTAATTGCAAAAATTAGGGAGCATTTTAAGCAATACGAATGTATGGGATCGGTAGCGTGAATACTTATCTATATTTTGGCAATTTATGTGAAGCTCAAAAGTTTTCATAAAAAAAGTGGTGAATGAAGTTCTGAAAAATGGGCATGTAAACTGGAGAAATGGAAATAAACTACGCAGCTGTGACTAATATCGCGGTCAACAGTGTCGCTTCTTTCTCACAGAGGGTGCCACCAAGAGTTTCATGAAGTCGGTAAAAAATACGATAAAGATATGAAATAGGTTAAATAGGTACCTAAGCGCTTTTATCTTGCGATGGAGTTGTTCTTACTTTTTAACTAGGCTAGTACCGTTGAGCTAGTACTGTGTAATGGGGATAACAAAAGACAAAAATTTACGAGCAAAAAAAAACTAGCGGGCTATGTAAGTTGCCTATGTTAATAGTAGAGTGCTCCGTGGCAGAAATTATGACTTCCGTGGGGGTTTTGGTGTCACAAGCTGAAATTCACAAAAAATGAAAGGTCATCATATACTGATTCTAAATGTCAAGGCCGTCCAAAATCGGACCATGCATTAGGTCACAAAACGCAAAAAACGAGTTAAGCACATGTACGGAAAGAAGAAAAAATAACGAATTTTTTTGTATATAAATCAAAATTTTCTTTGTACAGTGAAAGTAATAATAAATTATCAAACGTTTCCAATTACATTGGGTTTTACGGAAGAATTAAACTTCAAACGCGATTATCTCAGTTCGATATCCCTAAAAATTTGACAAATTTTGAGCAACTTTTGCGTTTACATCGTATTATTTAATAAACGGAAGCCTATATCAAAAAGTTTTACTCTTAAAAAAAGTTTCGCTCATCGTTTATCTTTACATTGCACTGAGAATTATAATTTTATGTGCAATAGTAACCAAAATATGTAATTAAAAGTAAAACAACGAATTTTTTACTCACTTACAAACGAAGCGCTTTCGCTCCGGTGAATACAATCCATCTCTACATTTCCCGTAGCTCCATTTCGCTCTTACTCATAGGTACGTTCTCGACACGGGGATACCAAAGCTTTGCCAATATAATTGATACAGATAATTATTAATTACATAAATCAATGAATGTGAAACTCAAAAAGAGACCAAACCATAATTTTAAGAAACATAAAAAAAATTGTAGATACAGAACATCGCCTTATACTTACAACCCCAGGTAACTTTTTAAATGTGTCATACTAAATGATATGCACTTAATAACAAAACAATAATACCCTAAACTAACACGTAGCAGTAATGTGATTTCTTTTCCTAGGTAAGTGCATTAAAAGAATGACAAATAGAAAAAATTTGATTCCATTTATTTACAACCTTTTCGTCAACTGAGCATTCAGAATCGCCGTGCTCTTAGATGTGATGTCAGTAGAATTTTGCACGATCTTTGGACCATGCTGGGGCATAACTTACCCTTTATACATTCAGTGAGAATTTAGAACAGTTAAATTGTTAGGAATTGGCCGCAATGTGATGAAAATGGGCAAAAGTTGCCACCAACAGAATACTCACTGTTTAAGGGTGTGTTTTTAAATCAAAATATGGCACCCTGTCCAAAATTGCCCCCCACAATGAATAGTACTTATATTAGTAGAAAAAGCGAACTTTTGCCCATTTTCATCACATTGCGGCCAATTCCTAACAATTTAACTGTTCTAAATTCTCACTGAATGTATAAAGGGTAAGTTATGCTCCAGCATGGTCCAAAGATCGTGCAAAATTCTACTGACATCACATCTAAGAGCACGGCGATTCTGAATGCTCAGTTGA